CCGTCCCCCCCCCCCCCCCCCACCTGCCTTGGGAAAACTCATGGCTCTCTCTCGGCTGGCGTTTGGGAGGCAGTCCTGCTTGCTCGTGTTTCTGTCGGCTTCACCCTGATCCTTAACCCTGTTTGACAGGAAAAATTGAAGCAGGAGTGTCTGTCCTTCCCTTGCCTGGGCAAGGCTGTTTTTCTCTGCTGCTGTGCAAAAAGGGTAGTGAAATACAACGTGGTGATGAGATGCTGGTTTTAGAGGGGGATCATGAAGCGACTGGCCTAGATTGGGCAGTCCCTGTCCACATGCACCACCTAGATTAGTGCATGATGCCAATAGAAAGTGAGCCAGGAGGGGAGGAAAAGTATGTACCTGCGAAATGCAAGTAGTACGCCAGGAAGGTTAGAAAGATGTCAGTGTGATTCCTATGGGAAGCAATCTTTAGTCTGAAACATGGAGACATAAATGTTTTTTGGTTGGTTGATTCCTCTCTGACCCGGGAAAGTAGACACACACAGATTTTGTTAAAAAGCTCATTAGTGTGCATTCTGGATGTGTTCTCTGAAAAACTCTCTCAATGGAGTCATCCATTCAGCTGTGTCATAGTGAGGGGAAAAAGCTTTAGTGCTGTGTAATTCAGTAATTTGAATATTTTACATAGTTTTCTGTAACAGTTGCAAGCAGCTGCAGTGTTTAGAATCTGTGTCTTTAAATCTGGACACCTTCAAGCAGAATGGAGAACAGCTGGACCAAAAAAAAGTGCATTTAAATATTCTTTTACTATCTTTTCATAGTCATTGACGGACAGCAGGTTTCTGTGTGTAGTGCTGGTAAATAAGGCATTACAGTAGCTCCTTTCCTTGCACAAAGATACAATTGATACCTTGTCTGTTGAAAGGCCCCAGGAGTTCAGCTGCGTCCACCAAAATGTGTATGTTTAGGACTAACAAGTGAGATTGGGTTCCTACTATTAACAGTTTCTGAGTAGCATATATTGTAATGCTGAAGAAGCAAAACCAGTGCCCAGCTCTAATGATTAAACAACATGAGGGGATAGCTAAATGAACTCTTTGGTTCAGCCACCCTTAGATGCATTATCTGTATCTCATATTTGTCCAGTACAGTAAACTTACCTGGACCTGTAGCAGCTCTGGGGTGAAAGGAGTGCTATCTTCATGCCTTAACTCATTTCATAAAACATGAGTGAGGCATCAGAAAAGTAGTCTCTTCCTGTTCCCCTGCTTAGTGTGTCACAACAGTCTCTCACTGTCAGGAGCAGCTCTCTTTTTAAAGGAGACCATTTTGTACCCAGGATGAGGGGAGCAGCCTCAGCCTTTGAGAACCAGAGAGTGGCTTTGTGTCTTCTCTGGGGTTTGCCTCTACTCTGACTTCATCCTGTATGTTCTGGTTTACTTCCAGTTGAGTTGAAAGAGGAGAGCTGGGAAGCCAAGCTTTATGTGGATAACGAGAAGCCTACTTTTTTTCTCTGGTTAGCAGTGAATCATCTAAAAATCAGATTATGGATTTTTGAAATTGGCTGTACATGTGAGAGAGAGGAGTTGCCAGAAGGGTACATGCATGGGGTCAGAGGGAGGAGCCAGGTGTGTTCCCTGTTGGACTGTTCTGTGTGCTACATCATCTCTTGGAGACTGTCCTGGAAAGGAATACATTATTGTTAGGGATTCCTACATGCCATTATAAAATTAAAAAAAAATAAAAATTATCTTCTATTATGAAATTAAAAGTCTTGTTCAAGAGCTGTTTTAGATGAATGCAAATTCTACAATACTCAAAAATGTAAATCTGATTGTTACATTGTGGATAAAGTAAGGGATTTTTTTTTAATTGGGTATGTTCACTAAGAAGTTCTAAAGTGAAAGATTGATGTGAATTGTGTCATTCTACAGAAGTGTGACTGTAAATATGTTTATTTTCTGATGCAGCTTGCTGTTCTCTGCC